CCCGAGGCTGGACAGAATGAAACGGGAACGTTCACATTCTGGGAGAGCCTAGAAATTGCACCGAAAAACATGCCGCGAGACGAAAAAGTGATTATCGGGGTGACCTTAACGGGCACTACGGGAAGCATCGAAGAGGTTACGACAGGATTCATGGCGAACATGGAAATGGTATGTTAAATAAAGAATGAGAGAGCATTTTGCAGGCGGCAGTTGCATGTGATCTGGCTCTCGTAAACACGTTATTGCAAAAAAGGGAATATCATCTGCTAACTTACAAGAGAGAGCAGATCAAAAGCCAGATCGACTACTGCCTGTTCTTAAGAATGTCAGGGATCACAACATTATCCTGGGGAAATTATCGCAAGCAAGTACGGGTTATAGGCCCCATTCAGGTGGTGATCACGGATGACAGCTTCGAAGATACCGCAGCTCGAAGGGAACACTGGAACAGGAAAGTATGAGAGCAGATGGTCAGCATAATCAAAGGCAACGCAAGAGGTATAGTCAGAGAATCAAAAGGTGCAACACATATCCAGAAAAAACTTAGTGGTGGAATGGGGAAGTACAAGCGATCATACGACATATGAAAGAGCTGTTCCAGAAATGGCAATTGTTAAACAGCGCTGAAGAAGTAACATATGCCATATCAAAGAGATAGGCAGAGGAGGCTGTCGTCGAAGCAAAGTCTGTGGCGTATAATAGCTTATGCGAAAAATGGGCAACGAAGGAAGGAAAAGGTATCTGTCGCATGGAAAAAAACGAGAGAGCGAAGAACAAAAGACTCTGGTAAATCGAAGCGTATAAATGAAATAAAAGATCTGGTGCTGACCGACGAGAAAAATGCTCGCAGCAGGTGGCGAAGGCACTTCCAAACGCTTCTAAATGGAGAACATCTCAGAGCGGTCGCGAAAGAGATCTCATGAAACGAGGATCTAGTGCAAAGATCTCATTTGATTAAGAGGAACAAGCCTTGATTGAGTGAAAAATAAAATGGTCTTTAGACCGGACGGAGTTCCCACATAAGCGCGGAAAGCACTGGGGCAAGAAGGTGTTGTTTGGTTCTGCGCTTTGTTCAACAAAATTGTGGAATTTGAAAAAAAAATGGCGGAATCATAGAGGCAGAGTATTTTTTATGCCAATGTATGAAGTGAAAGGACACATGCTCGCCTGTGAAAATTACAGGGAAATTGAATTGTTGAGTCACCCCTACCAGAGGGTGGTGGACAAAAGATGGAGGAAGAAGTTCGATATAACCTCGAACCAATTTGGCTTTATGCCAGGCAGATCGGCCATGGTAGCAATCCATTTTTGCTTTAAAATCAGGCCTCGAAACATACAGAGAAGTCAGGCAGGTCATGCAAATGGCGGTCCTAAACTCTTGATTCGTTTTGATCAAATCCCGAGGCACGTAATCTGGTTGAGCATAAAGGTTGTTCCAGAAAAGTATGCCAGGCTTGTATGACAGAGTGACAGCGACAGTTCGAAGTACTTGTGGAGAAATCAATTAGTTCCCTGTGCGAGTATTAGTTCACCAAGGATCCGCATTGAGACCATTTCTGTTCTCGAGAGCAGCAGATGCGATAACTGAAGATCTGCAGGAAGTAGTCCCATATTGCATGCTTTATGCACGTGACATTGTGCTACGTAGCGGAAGCAGAGAAGTTGTAGGATCAAAAACTGATGCATGCAGAACAATTCTTGAGCAGAATAGTCTTCTACTCAAAAAAGGTAAGTCTGAATGAATGGTGGGCTACCTCAATGAGGAAAACAGATTGAAAACCGTCACACCAGCGGCAGTAACGGGAGCATGCTACCTGAAGCCAAAGAATTTGACTACCTTAGTTCTATTCTGCAATATAATGCAGAAATGGACAGTGAAATGAGAAATCAGTCGATAAAAGCTTTACTCTAATGGAAAGAACTGAGCGAAGTGCTGTGCGATAGGAAAATGTATAGAACAATTGTAAAATCGATGCTTCTAGGCGGAGCCGAATGTTTGACTACCCCGGAGACTCGAGCAACAGTTGAACCAAGCAGAAATACGAATGCTCAGATGGATGTGTAGTGTCAGCAGAAAGGACTACAACCGAAACAGCTCCATGGAAAGTACTCTAAGGGCAGCACCAATTTTAGAAAAGCTAACCGAAAGCAGGCTCTCTTAAAAAGAAGACCCGTGGATACATTGGAAATGTGATTCAAGTACTGATAGTGTCAGGTAAAAAGAGAAAAAGGAGATCAGGGAAAGTAGTGCGATATCGTAAAGAACGATATGAAACTGCGAGGAGCCACTGAAGATTTACCAAAAGACAGAAAAATGCGGAGGTGGTTGACTTGATTACCCCACCTCTGTGAAAGAGAACATGCTAGGAAAAAGAAGGAGCAGAATATCTCTCAGTAGTTTGTCAAAACGTCTTCTGATTTGTTTTAAGAATGCAATCCGAGAACTTTTTGTCGATGAAAGCTGATTATCAGCATAAGAG